GGGGGGGGCCATGTTTAAACTTCTTGTTTGGTTGGGGGATTTATATTCCGATTCGAATTATAATTTATGATTTATTATAGTATTTTTTTCATAAAAAATACACGTAAATAAAAAATAATTTTAATATCATGATTTTAATCCATGTCTGTTCTCCATTTATGATCTCCATTTATGAAAGACCGATATTTTGTATAATAATTTATGTAGTTATCGTAGAAGAATGTATGTCCCTTGACACATATATACGTACAAAGGGGGATACCTTGACGTCCACATAGACATGTTCAAGACCTTCTATTGGGTGTCCCAAGAATTTTTCTTACCCCTAAACGACACCTCATGAACTGTCGGCTACGTCTTACATAAGATCCCAAAAACCACATCGGTATTCACGTGGCATGTCTCCCTTCCATTCACCATACACGTGTTTGGCCCTTTTCACAACCTATAATTACACTCTTTGCCAATCCTCACCTTCACTAAACAAAACTTTCCTCTCTCACACAATATAATGTGACGAGCATCATTTTATCCAAAGTGATTATTTTTCTTTTCAAATCCAACGCTTACCAATCCCACTTGTGTACAAAGATAGAACACCAACCAATACAAGTGACCAAAACCCAATAATATTCCTAGACTAGACCCCACAACACCCTCCCTATTGCTCTCTTATTTCCCATCTGATTTCATTACCAAAAAGTATTGACTGTGATGATCAAATTTTTGTTAATCAAGAGTCGTCCATAAATCCAACTTCCGTAGCAAAACAAGCAGGATTCTTTACGGTAGAGCCTCATGCCGATATTGGATGCTTTTAACCCTCTTAAAATACAACAAAAAAAATATTTAAATAGGTAAAATAAATCATTTCTGATATACATCGGACGACACTTGAAAAATATAGCAGTAATCCAACGGTTGAAAAACGTGGCGTATATTTCAGGTCCCACCGTACAAATTTCTGAACAGGTAACCCTAACTAGTCATACATAGTACTATTAAAGGCTGCTTTCTAGGTAGTTTTTCTCACAAACTCTTCTCTCTCTTCTTCTCCTTCTAACTTCCTATATCTCCCCATCTTTTTTTTTTTTTTTTTTCTGCTGGGTGTATTGGAATGCGTTTCGTATTTGGATTTTATCAACCATGACCAACGTACCAATGTCTCTTAGGTATTCTTCACTGGCTCTATTCAAGCAATTAGCCATCCCAGCCTCAGACCCTTGGCCTTTTTCTTCCGTTTTCTTGTAAGATTTTCTCAAGCGAGAGAAAAAGAAAACAAGGAAAGGAAATTAAGGAAAATCAAATCCAAACCCACCTTTTGATTTCCTTTCCTCCTTCTTCGCATTTTTTTTTCTCTCTCTTTTTTCCTGTTTTTCTCACAGATAAGATAATATACCATGGGAAGTGGAGAGAAAAGTACTCTACGGAATTTCCACCTGCACCTGCCTCATCTCCATCACCATCATCACCACCATCACCATCATCATCATCATCATGGAACGAAGAAGCAGATGATCAGAGATATTCCGAAAGGGTGTTTGGCAGTGAAGGTGGGCCAGGGTGAGGAACAACAGAGGTTTGTTGTGCCTGTGATGTACTTCAATCACCCGCTGTTTATGCAGCTGCTGAAGGAGGCAGAGGAAGAATATGGGTTTGATCAGAAAGGCACAATCATAATCCCATGCCACGTGGAGGAGTTTAGGTACGTCCAGGGTATGATTGACAGGGAAAAATCCCTCCATCACCACCACCATCATGTTGGCTGCTTAAGCTTTAGGGTTTGATGTTTTGATGATCATCATGAATAGAAGATAAATTCTGAGATCTTGTAAATCTTTAGAGTTTTTATTTTTCTTCTTTTGGGGTTCGGTTTTTTTTTTTTTTTTTCCTATTTAGTTGGATGATGATGATGAAAAAGTGATGTCTTGATGACGGAGAAAAATGTTATGAGAAAAAATAAAATAAAAAATTTAACTTTGCTTTGCAGTTTAGTTATCGAATCAGTTAGGATTCAAGCGTAATGGAAAAGTTATTCAATGCGTTTCTTTTTATTTCTCTTTTTTCCTTCCTTTTCTTTCTTTTCTTTTCTTTTCTTTTCTTTTCTTTTCCATTCTTTTCCGTTAAGTTTCTTTTTTGAATTGTTGAATGCTGAAAAATTTTGATGTAAGGCCGGGCATCGTTGTTAAATTAACAGCGAGAAAAAGAGAAAATAGACAAAGCGCATATAGGTGGTAGGGCCAAAGCGGTTGCTTTTAAGCCATAAATTGCAAATGCCGAATTTCAAAATGGCCCAAGAATATCTCATATTATATATATATATATATATGTATATGTATGTATGTATGTCTATTCATATATTTCAAGTCAACAGCTAATCTCCTTCCTGTTTAGTGTTCACTACTCGTTTCATAAATCTGCTCATAATTACTTTGTCAAAACGATATGATATGATGTTTCTACTACACTATAGGTATAAATATAGTTTTTATTGTAGAATAATGAATAGGACGTTTATCTAGTACGTCCTGAAAAAATGAATTATTAAAAAAAATTTGTTTTCAGCTATTAAATATGTATCATAAGTTATCAAATATGTAGCATAAGTTGTACGTTTGACATACATATTTAATCTGATGCAATTTTAATAAGAACCATAAATAAGAAATTTACCACACCAATTGAGTAGAGAGGTCTTATTAGAAAACTCTCAAGTTAATATATATTTCTTAGTTATTGAGTCATAAATCTCTAACTGCTCCTTTTGCTTGCTTTCCTATATTTTCCCTCTCATAATTAGAAGAGCATCAAAAATTGTTTGACCAAGATTCCTAATATAAATTCGAAAAAAGTAGGTAAGGTCGCAATAAATAGAAAGATGGAGTAAGCTAAGTACTCATGAGAACCATTGGTTCCATGTGCTGCAATCTATTGAAATTAATTCGTTCATAAAATTTGGTCAGTATTTAGTCAAGACGATTGTTATAACGATGATTTCAATACATACGGAAATACTTTTATTAATTTTTCATCCTTCAAATATCATTTCGAGATTTTCTTTCACGGAATGGCATCATTTAGAATTTTCTTTGCATATATGAATGGATATGATTTAAATGATTACTCCTAATTAATGAGTATCATAAAATAATAATCCAATAATTATAATAAATTTAATAACTGATTAAAAAAATTATGACAATTAATAAAATTAAATTTTTATCACCTCATGCTATCACTAGAAAAATATAATTATAAAAACTCGTCCATATAATATAGGAGTAATTTTAAGGATTATTCTACTATTTACTAATCAATGAGTATTGTTATTATAACCCTAAGATTTATATACGGCAACCTAAGTGGACGAGCATTAAAAGCAGTTTGACGGAGATGCCTAAGGAAATATTCAAACAAAAGTTGTACTGCAAAGACATTGGAATTAATGAGATATTTTTTCTTTTTCAAATAATCCATAAGTGGTAGTTTTTTTGGAGCGCATTGAATTGCGTTGGTATTTGACTAATGGAAAGTGTGTCTATATACATACATATATATACATACATACATATATATATATATATATGTATATATATATATTATATGTGTGTGTGTGTGGGTATAAGAAAGAGAGAAGTCAAAGCTGGGAGTTACAGTAGTTGTGCTCATGCATGAGCTCCACGTTTTGGTGAGCTTCTCAGTTGAAACCAAATAATTAACAACGGCTTCGAGCTTTTTCAGATATATGACTATATGAATATTTATGACTATAATTATTTATTATATTAGGGTTTTTGTTTTCAGGAACAATAATAACTTCTGTCACTGCCATGTTTTGACACCATTTATGTCTTAGCATGGAAGTTGCAAGGCACAGAAACGACACTGTGGGCCTTAATTTTGTTGGGCGAGCTGTTTTTTTTTTTTTTTTTTGAATTTTGATTATTGTGTCGGTCAGATAGGGCTCTACAATTTCTTAATCAAAATAACTGCCTTACCTGCAAAAACAAATATGTATGTTTGATAAATTTCATGCTGATGTAAGGTTTGGATTATTTATTTTTCTTTATAACAAAAAAAAAAAGAAAAAATACTGGATTTATATATACGTGGATGTACGTTATTTTCTCACTCAAAATTAAGAAAAATATTGGTATTTTACACATAATACCGAGACAGTGAAGGTTGATCAGCTAACAATAATACCCCTTAATTTCGAAGACAATTCAACTTTGTACATCAAGTTATGTTTAAATGATAGCAACATGAACACTTCAACTTATAGTGCCAATTTGATAATATCTTATGGTAATATAAATAAGCAAGCAAAGTTAGGTGAACAACACTTATACGAAATGATTCAATTTCATAATGACAAACTAATTATATAAGTATATTGAACTCCACATGTTATAGAGGTTAATATATACACAGAACCTCAAGTCTATTAGCTCTTTTAATAATCACGTATCTGTTGGTCTGTCGCACGTCTAGCTAATAGTTTTATTTCTTTGGATAAAATCTCTCAAAAGTTTTGAAATAATTTTATTTTCTTGTCCATTTTATATACGGAATTGCAAGGCTCATGTATAAGTTTTGTGTGTGTGTGCGTGTGTGTTTATATATAGAGTACTAAAATTACGTGTGTATGAGACATGCTGTCCAAAGTATGGCGTAATATAATCTAGTCGAAAAATATTGTAAATATGCACGCGTAAGCATATATATATAATATTAGAAGCAGTTAGGACGTGTCCAAGTTCATGTTGAATATTTGTACTTATCTATCAATAAATTATATTTCCAATAAAAAGATTCTTATAATATTAGGAAGCAAATGCAATACAATTAGAATACTAGTACATAAACATAATCTCATAGCAAATACTTTTAAGGAGTTGATATATATTAACAACGCCAAAAGAAATTCACATAATTATGGTAAAACAATGGAAATGTTGAAAAATTCCACTAAAAAAATAGTCTCTAGGTTATCTTTTATAACATGTAGATTATTTTCTGTAATCTTATAGGTTATATTGTCGTTGGCGAGGCGAGAAAGATCGAGGAGAGAGAGCGAGAAAGATCTAGAGAGAGAAAGGAAAGATCAAGAGAAATGGAGTGTGATTGCAAAGAGAGAGAGTGAGAGTGACAGAGACCGTGCGAAGAGAGAGAGAAGAGAGAAAGAGTGAGTGAGTGAGAGAGAAAGGAGAGAGAGAGAAAACTGAAAAAAAAAAAGAGTGGTATCAAATTTTTCTAATGACATAAATAATAAAATTGTGAAAAACAATGGTTAATCTTAAAATTTTCTCTAAAACAATATTCGCGGAGAATACTCTATTACAGTCAATGCACTATTCCTTTCCCTCATCTTCAGGTAGCTTTTTTTGTGAATGGAAATACTAAAAGTGTAGCCCGTTTAGTTTGTTTATTCGAGTTTTTAATTCGAATTGAGATGTGACTTTATGTGAGAGCTTTTTACTGTAGTAAAAAAGTTAGATGTGACTGTTTCTGAGAGCTTTTTACTGTAACAAAACTCGAATTCTAAACTTGAATCGGTGAAATGAACGAGGCGTATGACTATATATATATATATATTAACTCTATTATTCCTCCCTTTGCGGCAAATGAAGCAATAGAGTGTTTGATTAATCTTCCTCCCAAGTCCCAAGGGCCCCATCCCTCATTCCTTCCTTCCTTATTTTAGTCTTTGTAATGTATATAAAAACTTTTAGTATTATAGTGGATAAAGGTAACTTTAGCCGAGGGTGAAATAGTTTTTGTTTGATTATTATTATTATTATTATTATTTTCGATTAGCTCAAGGACATGTAAAGTAAAATTATGCTGTTTAGTAAGATCGACTCTCTAGACCACGAATAAGGTTTCTTTAATAATTTAAGTGAAAAACATGCTATTTGACATTTAAAGCACCACGGTCGATTTGGTGAAATCTATAAAGAAATTAAGCCATATAGTGATTTAGCAGCAACTTTCATATTTTCTGACTACTAACCTAGTTATCTTTCCCCAGATAGCAATGTTTTCTTCAACATCTCTCTCTCTCTCTCTCTCTCTCTCTCTCTATAGTTTGCAATTTTATTTGTTAATTGCGCCCTCATACTGCTCTCCTATTTGAAATTTGAAAAATCATATATAATTTCACAGTACTATAATCAAGCTTTGAACAAGTCTACCGGAGTGTGGAACAAATGTTCTATATATTCTTGAGTTCCTCCACCTTGTTGTTGAATGATAGGTTAAAATCCTAAAGTCAACTCGTTGACATACCTAATGAACATCTAAACACGCTAAATGGATGAGAAAACGAATGTGTTTCCTTACCCAAAAAAAAAAAAAAAAAGTACGAATAATGATTCAGTTGACCCGCATAATTAATATAATAAGAAAAAAGAACAGTACATGTCAATCTTATCTCGGGTATTGTTTACCGCTAATTAATTTAAATAAACATCGAATTGTTCAGAAAAAAAAATGAAAAAAATAAATAAACATTGAGTTTACAATATATACGTACCTTTATTATAATTCAGCTATTCTTTTATTATGCCCAAGAACGTTTTTGTTCTTAATTTTCGTAAACACTAAAAAGAATTGAATTGGTTTCAATTCCACTTTTAAATAATAAATTAGTAAACGTTAAAAATTAATGGAATCAATGGAACTCATTTCTGTGCATTTTGTTTACTAATTTTCGTTGATCATTTTCTTTAAAATCAATGGTGCCCATATTCGTTCATTTTCTTTCGTTTTCGAACTGGTTGTTTTATTTTTATTTATTTATTTTTTTAAGAAAATAACTCGTTATCTATTATGGTTCATGCCTTTTATTACAGCTACTTAGAAAATCAAATATAAACACAAAAAAGGTCAACGGATTTTACAAGAACACATCATCAAAGGCGCGCTATTTAGTATATATATACACACAATAATTGAAAATTCTTTGATGATG